AACAAAAAATAAATCTTTGACAATGTATTTGTCAAATTCAAGATTATATGCCTTTTTAATTTTAGGCATAAAATTTAACTAAAGAATTTAAGAATCTAATCTACTATTTTTAAATTATAAAAAAAATGAAAATAAAATCATTAAAAGATTATAATATTTTCATTTGAAACTCAACTCAGAACTCCAATTCCTCCAAGATAACAGCTTTAATGTCAGGAAAAAGGTCTTTTAATGGTGCTAATTTCTCGATTTGATCTTTTGTGTATTCTCAAGATCTCAAATATACTAATGAGTTTTTTTGTCTTTTAATAAAGACAAGTTTCCAAGTAAATTTCAGGTATGTAAAGTTGCATTTAAAAAAATTTAATAAAAAATTCAAGGTATTTTAAAGTTTCTCAAGTTCTTGAGAATATATAGATTCAATATCTGAATCCATATCGAATAAATCTTCTAAGTGAGTTTTAATTTTACTAAGAAATAAAATTAGAGTTTTTTTAAACTCCAAATAAAATTAATTTTGTGCTAATAAGTTTGCTAGTTCAAATTAATAAATGAACTGCTCAGGAAAATGTTCATATAAAAAGTTCTAGTAATGAATTTGAATTACTGAAACTATAATAATTACAATAATAATATTTATTATAATTGCACTTATCCAAAAGAAAGTTTTTGAATAAATGATTTTAATAATGAATTAGTGAATATAAGAGTTGTATTCACCAAGAGAGAGGTTTGTTAAAAACAAACCTAAGAGAGAAAAAATAATAGCAACAAGAAAAATAATTTTTGAAACCATTTTTAAAAAGGTAATTAATAAAATTCAAAGAAGTTAAGGTAGTTTTGATTTCAAGATTTTAAAACGAATAAATCGTAAAGGTTCTAGTTTCATTTCAAGTTCTTTTATCATTAAAAAAATCTATTAAATTATTTTTAGTCTAATTGAACATGTACAAAATTTTTTTTCGATAAGAAAATATACTTGCATTATCAGATAATCTGTTTACTGAATTTATAAGATAAATATAATTTATTTATTTGTAATATAATAATTTATAACAATTTATACATAAAATTTAAATATATTTATTATATATTCATAATATCTTAATATAATTCTGGAGTAGAAACATTTTCATTATTATTAACTCGTGATTGTAAATCACTGAGAATTTGTTCTAAATTATTAATATTTTCTTGCATAAGTTCTATCTCATGTTTATAGGTTTTTTCTCGTTCTTCTTTTTTACGTTTATGAATTTTGTCTTTTTCTTTCAATCTTTCACCATATTCATACTCATGTTTTTTGTACATATTATCAATTCGTTCAATTTCTTTTTCATGTTTCTTGATCATAGACATCAAATTTGCAATTTCATTATTTTTTGCAGCGATCAATTCTTTGTAAAGACTGACTTCATTAACATGATTTTCTTTCGTAGCATTATTTTCTCGTTTTTGTTCTTCGAGAGATGCTTTTAATTGATCAATTTTTACCAAAAGTTGATTCTTTGTCAATTTACTTTCAGACATAATTTTTGACAAAGAATCAGGTTTAATTTTGTATAATTTTAACATTTTAATACGTATTAAATTTTTATATGATAAATGCTTATCTCTGTATCATAAATTCTTTGTGTTTTTATAATTAATAAGGCTATATAAATTCTATTTTTAGTTATAAAATATTCAGGTGTAAATAAGATTATGATTTCAAATTTAGAATTAATCATCTATAACTGAAACAACAGGAGTTGATAATCATACATGATATGCAAGTCTCATGATAAGCTGCAGACTTTGATTATTTACATAAAATGAACAATACGAATGTAGTTTAATTCAAATTTGTCAGATAAATCTATAAAAATTCAGGTTTTTTTCATTCAACAAACATCAAATTTTGTAAAAAAAATTCTCAAATTCTTTTAAAAAATCTTAAATATTTTTTGTTGCACTTTACTTAATCATCTTTGTTACAATCATTATGCAGTACTTTTTAGAAAATGTTGAAAGGTTTACTTTGATTATTCAAAGTTTTAGTAGATCCTCAAGTATGGAAGTTTAGCTAGATAGTCCTCTCACGTACGAAAAAGCAATTGCAGAAACTCAAAATAATATAAGAACTGGTATAAATTTGATAACGATTCAAAATTTTTCTTCAAGTTTCAAAGTAAACTTTAAACCAAATATTAAAATTTATTCAAAAATGTCTCAAAAAATTTTAGAAAATACTATTTCACAATCAGAAATCGAAGGTATATATTAAATATTAATTATTTTATTTATTTACTTTTATTAATAATATTTGTTATTTAGATATTCAAACATATGCTACAAATAGAATAACTGAAGAATTTATTACATATGAAGAAAGAATTAGAAGATTGGAAAATTTTAATCTTAAAAGCAAGAAAGATAGAAAGAAATACAAGCTTATTTCTATAATTTTATTTTTAATTATTTTAATTTTATTTGGTGATTCATATTATTACATTTATATAACATATAATATGAATATTGATTTATTCAAAAAGAGTGTAGGTATTGAAATGAAAAAGATTATTTTTAATGAGAATTTAGATAGAATTATTAATTTTTTAGATTCACATAGAATGGAATAAAGTTTTTCTTATTCGATTTTTGATTGTGAAATAGTATTTCTCAATTGAAAATCGACTAAGACGAACTTTATTTTTATGAAAACTAATTTTAATAAATAATAATTTAATATGAATAATTAGTATTTAAAATTTAAACAGGTTTTCTATTACAATTTCCTGTGATTAGATCATGTTTTAACTTGAAATTGATTGCTAATTGTTTCACTTGTTCTGATGTTCTATTTTTTGTAATTCTAAAATTTTTAGTTTTATGTTTATTATTTTTATAATAATTAAAACTCCAATACTGATATTTTTTTATTTTATTATAATAAATTCCATTATATCCTGTTGTATTTGTTTTAAATAATTTACAATTTAAAGTATTCAATTTATGATTTGTTTCTTTAAGGTTTGATTCTCTATTATCAAGTCCTAAACGATTAATATGATCGATCATCTTCCATTCAGGATGAAGTAACTGATGAAATTTCAAAGTTATATATTTATTATCTTTTTTAATATTTGTTGCAATATAAAATGTATTTTTATCTTTATAAGAAGTCTATATATAAAATCGAAGTTTTGTATAATTTTTGATATTACAGAGAAATGTAATATCAGGTTTCTGTGTCTTAACTTCTAAATAAGCAAGACTCTGAATAGTTACAAGTCGAAATTGAATATAGATTTTGTTCTTTATTCCTTGTTTACCTCCATGAAATTCTTAGATAATTTTGAAAGTTGGATAAATTTTCTTTCAAGGAGAACTCTTAGATTCTTGTTCGAAACTCATTTTATTTTAATTTTAAAGAAATAAAATTTATTTATATATTTTAAAAAATATAAATAGGAAGAAATTATTCATTTTATTTGTTATAAAATGTCTGAGGAAAATATTAGAAAATTACAAGAACAATTAAATATAATAAGAGCATTAGAACAAGAACAGTTAGAATTGCAACAAGAATTAGCTATTAAAAATAAACATATTAACAATCAAAATCTAACAATTCAACAATATGAACAAAAAACGTTAAAGCAAGTATCAGATGTTGTTGATAAAAGATTTAATAATAATGAAAAACAATATATCTTAAACAGAATACATAAAGATCTTAATGAAGGTAAAAATGATACCAATGAACAAAAAAGAAAACGTTATATAAAATTTATGTGAGATATGATCTTACATTTTATACCTGATGATAACAGAAGACAAGAACAACTTAAAAACTTTTATGTAATAATATTTAAAAAAATATTTTATTATATGCAAATATGATATATACAAATATGATAAATAAAATAAAATAAGAAATAAAATTAATCATAATTTTCTTTGTAACCTTCTTCATAATCACTAAGAATTTCTTCATCTCCCTCCCATTCATCTTCACTTTCTCTCTAAATATTTTTTTCTTCAATAATATTTTCTTTAATATTTTCTTCAATATTTACTTTTTCAACTCCAAATATCATAGGTAATCTTGATAAAGGAGTTTTATGATCAATATAAATATTTTCATCTGTAAAGTCATTTGATACTTCACAGAAAGTTGAAAAAAGTTTTTCTTGTTGATATCTTTCTTCAGCGATATCAAAACTTTTCTTAAAAAAATCTGAATAATAGAACATTCTATTATTAAAATCATCAATTATTTCTTCTTTATCTTTCAAAAGTTTATTTTTTTCTTTAATTAATTCTAAAAGATCTTTATTTTCTTTTCGCAATTCTTCAACTTTCTTTTGATAATCTTTGAATATTTTTTCATATTCATTATTTAATTCTTCAAATTTTTCAATATTAATTAAAAACATTTTTTGTTTTTTATTAATTTCGTCTGTTGAAGAAGCAAAATGTTTTTTTTTTCTTTGTTCGTTAGATTGTATTTGTGGAGTATTGTAAATTAATTGTTTATTCTCAATTTGGAATGATATATCAGACATTTTTTTAAAGTTGCATGCAGAAAATTAAGCATTTTTATAAGCTTTAAACATTAAGAATAAAAACAAGTTTTTTAAAAAAAACTCGTAAGAGAAAAGAATTTTTTATCAAAGTTTATTGGTTTAAAAATTATTAATTATAAGTAAACAGAACTTTACAAAATGATTGGTGCATTTGTTATCATTGATTTTTGTATCATCATGTGTTGACCTAGAATTTGAATTTTGTAGATCTGCAATCTATCCGTTTATAGAATCCTCATGAGGATATCTATGATCACTGATTTTTTTATATTATCTGCCTTTTTGAGGAAATCCTCAAAAGGAAATATTTGATTAGTCATATAATTTTTGTATAACAAAACAACACGTAAAATAAATAATTTTTAATAAATATCAAGAGAAATATTACAGGTTCTTTATTAAAAAATAGCTGATCTTAATAATATTCAATTTGAGAATGAACAAACAATTCATCAAGACTCTACAATTCGAAGTAATCTTAAGAGAAAACAACCTGATCAAAAAAATAAATCTAATAAAAGAAAAACTCAAAAACATGAAATTTGGAATCATGTTATAGAAAACTTAGATAAA